TTTTCTAGAGCAGATTCATTGTTATCGTGATGTTGTCTATCCCAATTAAGTGACATCGAATTAGTTACCAATGACAGGGAAAACCGATCTGAAATACATATAGAATTTATTAGATGTTAACCGTCACGATTGATGTAAAATATCAATCAATTAATGGATGATCATAAACGATATCAAAATGACAACGTTGCAATAATCTAATAGTGGATTACGAATATATATATAGATTTTAACTAGCACGCCTTTTTCGATCAGCCTACGTTACATCGTATAAAATTAATGAATCACGTATTTTGAGTTATAGTGCACCTACTATGATCCTACAAAAATATCATATTCTTGAAATAGGATAAGTAAAACAAATGGGGTGATTCATCAATTGAATATTGATTACTAAAATGATACTATCAATAAAATGGAGGCGTATTTTGGACGAATGAAGCAGTCGCCTACTCCGCGTGTTCTGCACAAACATGAATGCGAGTAATAATGCATACATCTATCTACATCACAATATTGACTCGAAGCTCACATGACTCTTCGTATACTTACTTTGATGTCAAATGTAGGAAGAAGAAAAAATAACCGTGCATTATCCTGGGAAGCGAACAAAATCAAGACACATATCTTTTATAATAGCATGTGTTCTGCTTTAGATTATATGGATATCTTAAACAAGATCAGAACATTAAACGTAGAGAATTTTTGATGGCTGAGAGCTGTCCTTACAAGAATATCTATCCATTGCAAAGCCTACGTATGCAAACAGATAAGTATGTAAACGGTGATCTAACGTATTTCGATTCACTAGAACTAATGCGTTAAAACGAATCGTAAAACCTATGTTACCATCAAGATAAATCTGATTTTACGAGTTCATATGCAAAAAAATGAAAAATATGTGTATTGACTCGTTGAGCCTCGTTCGTGTGATATATTTCAGCGAAAAAATGTGTTTCAATATTAATTTTTAGAACATAATATCTTATTTACAACTCACATACATGTCGTACGTGAAATCATGTTAAATGTATTTTAGAGGAAAACGTTGTCACCTGGAATTTTGCTAGAAAAGATGTTCTTAAATTATGAAATTTACTTAATCGTCAATCTATATGAGTTCGCTACTTTCATGGATACTGATATAGACAAGGAACCATTATAAGTATTTTTTGTACTACTGTTCTAAAGAAGAAAATTAATAAAAAAAAACAGAGAGATATCTAGAGTAAGTAAACAAGAAATAGACGTAGGTACAAATTTTTTGTCGAATATACAGAATGCATAAAAACCATTATGGTCTCATCAACAAAGAAAACTTTAAAAAAAAAGAACAATTAATGTAGTTAACGTATTCGAATTTAGAATTAAAAGAATGCAGCAGATAAACAAGTATTTATAAAAATGATTATTTACGATCAGCAAAAATTCATTTTAACTAACACGGAAAACAACTAACAGCAAATATGAGTCCAAAAGAGAAGCATATGTACTATCAACAAGGTCATGAAAATCATGACTAATACTGTATTGTATAATAAATACGTAAACTTCACATCATTTGTCAATTTAAATAATGATCCTTTGTCACATATATCACTAAATCTAATTAATAACCAGCACATAAAAACTTTTTTTTTATTGAAATACCACATAAAAAATATCAAATACTTTTCTTTCTACACCTTGAACATTGAAGATTAGTGAAGAAAACAAAATTGATATCTATTCACCACTGTTTGCTAACATCGTAATGTTACTTAGAAAAAAAAATGTTTCTTCATCTTGTTCAATAAGGCTAACATCACAATTTATCAAAAGATATTTCATTTTTGAAATCAGTAAAACATTTTACATCAATTTTAGCTTCGATATTATAATTTCATATCATAGAAAATTAATCAATTTCTTTTTTGTTAAAAACACTAAAATATCTTGTGCAAAAATATATAAAGACATAAAATATCAAAATTAAGATTATTTGAAATTGTTTGAATAACAACAATGAAGTACAACTTTAAAAAACGTAAATTCAGTTGCCTCAGTCTATAACGATAAATCTTTAATAAATGCACACGATTGAAACAAATCAATAAAAACTATGTCATGTGGTTTTGATCAAAATATAATCACAAATTTCACGGTGTATAAACAAAAATGTGAATCCATTACTCTTTACGAATGAATATTAAGAAATAACAGGTAGCATCTTCAACAAGATGAATAATCTGCAAAAATAAATGTTAATATTGTAGTAGACGAGAAACTGTTGACTTGGTTCACTTGGACGCAACCATTAACAACGAAGGATTATAATAAACAAATCAATAAGCTTCTGACAACGTCTTTCGCGAAGTAAAATTTAGTTATTCGCTACTATTCTTAGTTAATAAAAAATCGTTATAAAACTCGAAATATACGGAATAAAAAAAGATACTATCTCGTATTAGATGATATTTTCTTTCTAAGATTTTCATGACCTTTTCAAAAGTATTTCGGATCTAATTTTTTACAGTAGGAATGTTGCAGTTTGTAATAAACAATCCTCTCCGATAATACATTGTATCAAAATAAAAATTAATGTGGCAGATATCATTACGCCCATCAATAATGAATGATAAGTTGATGAATGATCATTCATTATATATATTTTTCACTTTTGATAGACATGATTATTTTATCAATAATTCATCTATCACACCTTACCATTTACACGCATACTTGTTGAGTAGTATCTAATTTAAAAAAAAAAAAGGTACACGCTATTATCAAGTGTGAAAGATGATACGATAATAAAATATGAAGCTCATCTCTTATTATCCATCGTTAATGAAGGGAAAAATTGTATTTTTTTAAATAAAAAATAAAAATTGACTTAACAATATATTTCTTGTTACATATTATTTCTTTACATTCATATTGACATATATATGTTAAGTTAAAGAGAAAAACAAAAAGAGATTATCGAATGTTAACATATCTAATTTCTTCGTTCACCGAGAATGTATACACGAGAAATTGAAACGTCAAATATATGAACTTCCTCCTCCGGTGACTCTTCGTTTATTAAAGGGAGGGGGGGGAGTCAGTCACTTTTCTCTTTTTCTTTCGTCTCTTCTATTTCGTTTATGTCGTTTGTTTGTTTGTTTGATGTTTTCAAATAATGCTTTTATTGACCTGTCCGTCCGTCGTCGTTCGACATGTATATGTTTAATGGATATAGAAGATGATGATTGTCCCTATGCGTTGTCATTATTGACGAAGGAAAGAAAAAGAAAAAAAGACAATTTGAAATGTTTCAAGGTAAACTAACAAAAAGTTCCATTTATTATTTTCTATTTATTCTTATTATAATAATACATAATATATCAACAAAAAGTATAACATTCAGTTATCGTACATGTTTACCTAATATTGATTTAATTAATATTGAACATTATTATCCATTAAATAGTCAATTATTTCGATTAGTTATAAAAGATTTTCGTTTACATATTATATATACATATAAAAATGAACAAATTGAATATCAATTTGGAAATTTTAATTTATTATTACCATATTCAGCTAGTTTTGATTATCAATTTCAAACAGCTATTGATTATTATCATGAAATAGATACATGGCATTATGTTAATATAACATTTGATGATTATTTATCAAAAGTATTTATATCATTTAATGGTGATGAAACACGTTTAATACCATTAATTGATTATCCAATTAAAAATTTCACAACAAAATTAAATGTCAATGTACTTGTTGATGAACAACAAACAAATGTTACATGTTTATTACCTTATTCAGGTTTTAATACAAATTTTAAAAATTGTTTAATTAATATTAAAACTTGTGGTTAGTTTAAAAGAATTTTAAAACAAAACTTTTTCAATGGTGTTTTCTTTTTTTAAATAGAATATCGAACATGTACGTCAACAAATAATACGGAACAGTATTGTCCACTGTTTAAAATATTTGATTGTCGACCATTTACTGGTAAATTAGAATGTTGTTTTTTTTCTTCTATTATTATGATAAACAGATCATATATCTACACTTTATATGATTAAAAATAACTGGGAAATAGAGTATTTCTATAGAACGTATGTGTTTCATGGATAATATTATATTTGGTCTTGTCAATTATGACGAGTAATCTATCCTGTGATATTAATAATATCATATGGTGGAACACCTGCTATAGGAATAGTGGGCACGGAAGCAAAAGCATCGTTGAGCAATTATCAATAGTACTTTGTAGAGTTTTCGCATTATCATATTTCTCATAAGCTTTTTTTAATGATGTAAACAAAGCAATTATATTGATTTTGTAAATGTAGACATTTTTTTTTTGAGAGTCAACTTGCACGGATTAGGCCCATAGAGTATTTTTACAAACATATTGATTCAAATGATTTTTTTGTCAACAAAAGAAATAAGTATTAGAAAACTTCATATTGTTTGATTATATAATTTTTTTTAAGATTTGGAATGTGGATTAAAAACAATACCTGTTCGTTGTTTACATAATCATTGTCAAAATCGAGGCGTATGTTATGTTGATTTATTAAGAAATGTAACTCAATGTGTTTGTCCATCTGGTAAAGTTAATGATTTCTTTTTTTTTTTTTTTTTTTGTCTGTTTTAATTAATATCAATATTTTTTCTAGGCTTTGCTGGTGATCAATGTCAATATTCAATTGATGAATGTCAATCAAGTCCATGTCCAAAACATAGTCATTGTATTGATTTACCAAATAGTTATACATGTGTTTGTGGTATGAGAATTATACGGAATAGAAAACGATAGAAAAAAAAAAGCAAGAAACAACTTATTTTAATATTTAGATCCAGGATGGACCGGTATTGATTGTTCTGAAGATATTGATGAATGTAGAACGATACAACCATGTAAAGCAGCACGATCTTGTATTAATCTACCAGGAACATATAAATGTGATTGTTTTGATAGTTTTGGTGGGCAAAATTGTGAAATGGTACGAAGACTTAATATTCTTATTGTTTCCTTTGAGCATTAAGAATAGCAAAAAAAAAATGAAATATATCAGATTTTTAGAAAAGTTATCAGTGCAATCACTGCAGAATTAAAATGCGATACGTGATGTAACTACTATTGCTAATCGTAGAAAGACTGTTTTCTTTTTTTGTATCAATAGTTAGAACACATTTCTTCACTGTCCTTTTATTTAATCCTCCAGATATGGAATTCATTTATTAGAACGAAACATTGATAGACAGTCTACGACTCTTTTTAGTCTTAGCAAAACAATCACTTTAAAACGAATATTGATTCATTTATCGTATTATGACTTCTATCTCATTTGTAATTGCATGATGATATCAATAGCTATTATTCGGACTTCCGAAGAGGGATATTGTAATCAAGAATTGCCATAGATGGTGATTACGAATGTCATTCTAATTTTTGAATAGTTTACGTGGAAACGACTTGTTTGAGGAAGACTAACGATGATATTTATTATTTCATTTAGACACTTGATCCATGTTTATCTGAACCATGCTTAAATGATGCTATAAAATGTCATCCAATTCTTGAAAGTGATAATGTTGTTTTTCGTTGTACATGTCGACCAGGTTTTACAGGTCATCGATGTGAAACAAATATTAATGATTGTGAAGGTATTATATGTTCAAAAAATAATACTCATTGTGTTGATGGATTAAATTCATTTGATTGTCAATGTAAACAAAATTTTATACGAAGTATAACAAATTATTTTTAGAATTTATGAGAAATATTTTATGTTTTTTTTTGTTTTGTTTTAAGATTCCGATGGTTTATGTATTGAACAAAATCCTTGTAATTCATCACCATGTCATTCAAATGCAACTTGTTATAATTTAAAAGGTGGTCAATATCGTTGTATGTGTCCGCCAACATATACAGGTATTCGATGTGATGAAGATATTGATGAATGTGCTATTTTTCCGTCGATATGTCGAAATGGTGGAACGTATGTTATTTATTTGAGATAAGTATTATATTTCTATGTCTTTTTTTTTTTCGTTCTTTATAAGATGTGTCAATGAAATTGGTTCATATCGATGTTATTGTGCATCCGGATGGATTGGTTCAACATGTGCAAAAGCTATTGACTATTGTCATTCACAACCTTGTAATCGAAATGGAACATGTCTTAATAATGTATTATTTTATGAAAATTGAAACTATGTATATAAAATAATTTTATTTAGATAAATGGTTTTCAATGTCGTTGTTTATCATCATATACAGGTAATGTTTGTCAATATGATATTGATGAATGTATATTAAATCCATGTTTGAATAATGGAATATGTTTTAATTATCATGGTGGTTTTCATTGTCAATGTTCTACAGGATATTTTGGTATGATATAAATGAAATTTCTATATATATATATGTTAAATAGTTCTTTTTGTTTTTGTTTTTCTTTCTACTCTTATTATGAATAGGTAAGTTATGTGAAAATTCTTCATTGGAATGTCAACGTTTACAACAAGCAAATTTATCAATAAAATGTATTGATCCTAATTTATGTGTTTCTAATGATACAGAAAAATTAAAACAAATCAAACAATTATCAACATATTCATGTAGAACAGAACAAGATCGAATACTTGATACATATTTTACATGTATTAATAAACAAACATTTGATCAATGTCTTTGTCCTTCAAGTAAGTCAAGTATAGTTTAATTGAAATTTATTGAATAAGAATGTATATGATAATATTTCCGAAGAATATTTTTTAATATAATGGAAGAATTTCGGGTCACACTTGAAATGCAACTTAGAATCGTTAGCGAAGGAGTAAAAACTTTTCTCAGGATAAATCGATTTTAATTTATATTCATAATGTTATCTTCCCGTATTTAACTTTAGTGAATAGTCAGTATATTCTTCAGTGAAACTTGATAATTTGCATTTCAATGATATAACATATATAAATATATATGATAAATATTCAGAAAGATTGAAGGTACAGAATGATTACCGAAAAAAAAAATAATGAGGTACACAAATCTAATAAACCTTATTTCTATTAATTCTTATCAACATAGCATAAACGCCTTGTTCTATATAGAAGTCTCATAATTAATTTTTTCGTTTTTATTTAGATTTAATTTCTTGTATTGATAATTCTTCTGAATCAAAATCAATTTGTAATTGTAAAAATGGTGGTACATGTTATTGGTTGAATTCAACAAATTATCGTTGTTATTGTCCACCGGGTCTCACTGGTCAAGATTGTCTTAATGAGATAAATCTTTGTTCAAGTCAACCATGTTATAATAATGGTACATGTATATCACAATTAAATAAATTTACATGTCTATGTTCAACAAATTCGAAAGGTATTTATTGTCAAGAATTAATTGGTCCATGTGAAAGTAATCCTTGTTTAAATAATGGTCAATGTCAACGTGAATATGATAAATATAAATGTATTTGTTCATTAAATTATAAAGGTAAGCATTGTGAAATTTATCAAACACCATGTTTATCTAAACCATGTCAAAATAATGGTCAATGTCATGTTTATAATAATAATAATACATTTGAATGTCAATGTTCATTTAATTATCAAGGTATTTATTGTGAAGAACCAATTGATCTATGTAAAATACAATCAAATAAAAGTCTTTGTTTAAATGGTGGTTTATGTCAAATAAATAATCATACAATACAATGTATATGTTTACATGGTTTTACAGGTCTTTTTTGTGAAATAAATATAGATGAATGTTATACTAAACCATGTTCACCACATGGTGAATGTCTTGATTTAATAAATGGTTATCAATGTCAATGTAAAACTGGTTGGTATGGTTATAATTGTGATCGTCAACAAAAAGATATAAATAAATCTTTAATTATACGTTCAAGTATATCATCAATATTTCATTTACATCATACATTAATAAATATATCAAAAATTTTACCATATCGTTATTCATTATTACCTATAAGAATACAATATGAATTTCGAACAACATTAAATCATGTATCACTTCTTTCAATAGGAGAACGTTTTCAACAAAAATTAATTCATAATAGAATTCTAACGAATTTAGATAATAAAATAATGTTATCAACATTTATTGATAATCAAGAACAATGGATAATGATTATTGTTGAAATATATTATTTATGGATTGATGTACGAATTGGAAAAAATTCTATGTCACAAAGATTTTATATACCAATACCTTCACTTGAATATGAACTTCAAAATGAAATTATATTTGGTTATAAAAATTATTCCGGTTGTGTTCGTCAAATTGAAATAACATATAATCAAGTATATTCTATTGTATTAACAGATCAATTAGTTGATATTAATGAAAATATAACACTTGGTTGTGAAAGGTAAATAAAAAGTCAAATTATTCTGTTAATGAGTAAGATAACTGCATCAATATATGAATTTACGTTTAGAGAGAAATAACCTTTGATGCGACAGTCTTTGCTCAACTCAATATTAGTGTAGAGCATTGAATTTTATACGAAACGTTTACAGGAAAGAACTAACTTTTATTAGAAGTTCAATTTTGATTTACGATCTGTGACTTGACGGGAGTATGCCCAAATTTTTAATCTTATACTTCTTAATAAAAAATGTTTTTAAAAATACAAAATTTGTTGTATAGGATTAAAATTACATGTTTTGTAGAGTAAATTTTTGTTCTCATAGTTTTAAATCGAAGGAAAAAAATTGAATATCAATAGTAATGTGTACAACTATCAATATTTCTAAATTATTTGATGATAGTTGTTCATCGTTAGTCGACAAATAAATTCTATTATTTCAATAATTGGAAAAGAGAAAAATTGAGTGAAAAATATGTTTTAAGAAAAAATTTCAAAACAGATTCAGTAGTGTTTAAAGTTCCCACGACTGGGTAAAAAGTGCCTACATTTGAATGTTTTTGTCTTATATTTTCAATATAAACAAAGCTCGGTAAGCCCAGATCCAAAGTTGATCGATCTTGATACATCGAATATAGACAAAATACTTCAAAAAAGACCGTTTTGATATTCTCATTATTTTAATACATTAATGTTTATCTTTCTATTGATCACTTTGTCATAGACAGTGGGCGTAGCAACGTTTCAATCATCTAGAATGATCTATGGACAGATCTCTATACTACGAAAACTCATAATTATGAAGTTTTTAACGAATACTTTATTAGACCAGACGATTTATTAGAGAAACTTATGTTTGCAAATAGTTGGAATTATAGCTTATAATTTTTAACGAACCTTATTAACTTTCATGTTAAGAATACTGAAAATTAACTTTATTAATCAAAGAAACTCAAATTGTTTGATTTGATATTTGTATCTATGATAGAAGCAGTATAGCTCTCATGAATGAGAGGTCAAGCGTGTTATGAGATTCGTTTCTAATCTTGAAATATCCTCGTATAAACAGTTCGTATTCATCCTCCTTCACATTCGATTTGGTGCTCAAAATATAAAACCAGTGAATTTACATTTAAATAATTTTTTGTATAATCTTCGGTCTTTTGATGACTGCTCGAATATGAGCAATGAATAAAAGTATTCATTTGCTAAGCTATGATTACTAATTCAAGTTTGATCAAGATCAAACAAAAATTCTCTTTTCTTCTTCTAACTTGATAAACATATGACACTTAACTTTAAGTAGTCAATAATCAATTCTATTCGAAAGTATTGATCTTTGTATTTCGTTTAGAACCAATGCTTGTGAACATGCTGTTTGTCGAACAAATGAATTATGTCACGATCATTGGTTTTATTATACATGTCAATGTCAATCACCATTTTTCGGTGAACAATGTGATCAAAGTAAAAATTCATGTTTTCTTTTTTTTCTTTGCGTGTTCTATTAAAATTTCTTTTTTTTTTTGTTGATTTAGTTGCACCTATCGTAATATTTAATCAATCAAGTTTAATTGATATTTCACTTTCATCATCTATTTCAAATATATCATTTTTTTTTAATACACTTCAACCAAATGGAACATTATTTCAACTTATATCATTTTCCAAACAAAATCGATTTACACGTGATTTAATTTCACAAAATCGATCATTATCAAAAATTCTTGGTACATTAGTTAATGGTCATTTTCATTTGATTATTATTGATAATGAACCTAGATTACAAGAATATGAATTACGTAATGAACAAATATTAAATGATGGTCGTCCACATCAAATTCAACTTGATTTAAATAATAATCGATTGATTATTGACAGAATTTATAATGAATCATTAACAAGAATAAATGATAAAATAATACCACATAAAATTCAATTTATACCTTATGGTTCTTTAAATGGTTGGTTACAAGATTTACGAATTAATAATCAATTAATTTCACTTATTAATACAACTAAACCAAGAAAAGATTTAAATATAACAATTTTAAATATGAAACAATTAGAATATAATCCATGTTATCCAAACAATCCATGTCAAAATCAAGCTAATTGTCTTGTAACAAATTCACATGATTATTTGTAAGTCAATTTTTTTTCATTGAATTATTTTCAAAAACAAAGCAGAAAAAAAAAGTTATACATTTATATCACACTTGATCAATCAACCAAAAAGACATCCTCTATTCACTGTCGTAGTTCAAGTAGTATACTTCACTTCTATTTCATCTTTTTTTTTCTGACGAGCTTCTGAATCTTGAGTGGATAAATTTATCCTCTAGGTTAAGTACTATGTGTACACAATCGCAGCTATGCCACTGTCCTTTTCTTTCGTGTCACCTCTATTACACATTACTTTCTCATGACAAGAACTCGACCAATTTTTTTTTTTTCTTCTTTTCTTCTCTTAACTGTACTATTATAGAAATAGAAAAGGTAAATCTGAACGAGACAGAACGGCGGTCACAATGCAATTAAATTCTCTTTTTCTCTTCATTCATTGAGGTCGAAAAGTTCAAATCAGTGTATTGCACGCATAGATTCTTTCTTTTTTTTCTTTGCGGCTTTTGTATTTTTTTTTTTGGGTGTCATATACATATACATATGATAAATAGAAATCATATGATAAAAAATTTTTTAATATTTATTTTTCTTATCTTATTTCCATCAATAATCAGATGTCAATGTGAACCAAATTGGTTTGGTCAAAATTGTTCTCAAATAAATATATGTAATTATAATAACAGTAGTCGTTGTCCAAATGGTTTTATTTGTAAAACAATTGATAATAATAATCAAGAATGTTTAGCAATTGGAACATTTGAAGGAAATTCAAGTAATTTAATAGCTAAATTTAATTATACTTCAATAATAACAAATGAAATATCATTTCGTTTTCGTGCTCATATACAATCAGCACATTTATTAACAATAAAAAATTTAATAAATTTAAATTATTTTTCTTTTTATTTATCTGATAATAATAATTTAATTTATCGTGATTCAATATTAAATAATGATTTATTTATTGAATTAAATAATCAAACATTTGAACAATGGACAACATTTCATTTTCAATGGACAAATAATTTAACATTAATTTTTAATCATTTATATACATATTCAATTAATTTAACATATGAAGATATATTTGTATTAAATGATGAAATTGAAATTATCATAGGTAATGGTTTTCGTGGTTGTTTAGAATATGTTTTAATAGGTGAAAATCTTTATATACCATTTTATAATGAAACATTAATTGAAAATGATATACGTATGAATAAAATTTATATAGAACAAATTGATAATATACAAATAAATAATTGTACATTTAATAATATATGTGAAAATTTTATTTGTCATTATGGAAAATGTATACAGGATTTTGATCGAGGAAAATGTTTATGTAATTATGGATGGGAAGGTGATTATTGTAATAAAAATATTGATGAATGTCAACAAGGAAATAATTGTTCAAAAGAACATAGTATTTGTCAAGATCATATTGATGGTTATTATACATGTAAATGTCATCAAGGTTTTACTGGCAAATAGTAAGTTCAATTGAAATATGACTAGGATTTTTCTTTTGTTTAATCATTACTTTATTGTAATGATTTTCGTTACAGTTGTTGCCATTCTCTTTTATGTTTACGGCTAGACATATTAATTTTATCGGTAGTAAAACAGCTGTATAGAAGTGAGTATCGATGAGATTATTAACAATCAGAAAAATGAATGTTGATAAAGTGTTCAGTAGCCGTAGAAGCACAAGTTATATTTAATTGAATGAAACGGATATGATCATAGATAATAGTTCATTTTTTCAAGACTCATATATATATTCTCGGTAAGAATCGATCTAATTGGTTTTATTTAGAATGAGAGCCGGCATGGCACAAGTCCCTCAAAAGATCATATTGGTTCTTCCATAAGAGCAAATCTGAACCAAACACTGTAACAAGCATATTGTTATAATATATGAGCTACTTTATTATCGCATTTGTGAAGGGTTAAGTAAAATGATAGTGAAAAAGAAGTGTCCTTAAATAGATAGAACAAAAAACAAAAAATCTTCCTATGATTAGCAATAGTAGCTGAATCGTGTTTCATATTTTAATTTCATAGAACAGATATCGAGCTATTGAGTCTACCGAAAAATCAGAACATTTGTTAAAGAAGTAGTTTAATCGGCATTTAGTAATATAAATATTTATTTTTTTTTTGTTAGTTGCGAAACAAATATCGATGAATGTTCATCATCGCCATGTGCTAACGGTGGTATTTGTATAGATTTAATTAATGGTTATCATTGTAATTGTACTAATAATTATATAAGTTCACATTGTTCAATATCACTTGATGAAACCTGTTTTGGTCGTTTAAATTCGTGTGAAAATAATGGTACATGTATTTTAAACAGTTCACATCTTTATGTTGATAAGCCTCAAACTGAATGTCAATGTCGTGATGGTTATAGTGGTCAATGGTGTGAAAATGATTTATGTTTAAAATTAAATTGTCTAAATAATGGTACATGTCAAAGATTACCTGATCGACAAGCAAAATGTTTATGTACTCAACAGTGGTATGGAAATAGATGTGAAAATGATGTAAATGAATGTAGTTTAAATAAAACAAATATATGTTTAAATAATGGTACATGTTTTAATTATCCTGGTAGTTATAAATGTCAATGTCATGAAAATTATCTTGGAAAACATTGTGAACGAAAACATACATGTTTAGAACATGCACCCTGTTTTAATAATGGACTATGTCGACCTGATGGTGAACATTATTATTGTGAATGTTTATCGAATTTTACAGGTATGAAAAAAAATTGCAATAAGAAAAATGAATTCTACTTTTTTTTTCTTCTTCTTCTTTGTTTCTATTTAAGGTTTACATTGTGACTTTCCAACATGTGAATCAGTGCCATGTCGAAATAATGGTACATGTACACCAGACAGTGAACGAGGATTTTTATGTAATTGTACAGGAACAGGTAGATAGAGAAAAATAACAAGAAAATATGTTTTATCTTTAGAATATAAATTTAAATAGGTTATGAAGATGAAAGATGTACAACAGAAATTGATGAATGTCTGAGTAATCCATGTCAAAATAATGCAACTTGTATTGATCAAATTAGTGGATATATTTGTGCATGTTCAAAAAATTTTTTTGGACATCGATGTGAAAATAAGGTAAATAATCGAACTCGAAAATCGAGATTTGATACTTGATGAAAAGTACAACGGAGCATAGAGGTAGAAGTGTAAACCTATATGATTTCTCGATGGTAGTAGATAGCAAAAATTTCAAAAAAAAAAAAGCATTGATGTAGCAGAAATGATCCAGTGAGCCTGAAGACTTCAGCAAAATTACTTGAATAAAGATCTTTGGAAAACTAAGGCATCAAGCTTTGTCAAAAACATTGAAATTTTCTATAAAAACAAAAGAAAAATGCTTCTTGAACCTTCTACATATTGCATATAGTTCGATGCAAGAAAATCATTTCTCAAAAGCTTCAAATGGAAACCACAAATGTTTTTCAGATTCTTGATAGTTATTTTCATCGAAAAGATTTGTCAGTTGCCATATTTTGTGAAAACTAATTTTTGAAATCTAGAAAAACCGGTTTTTTCCTGCTTAAAATTTTTATCAAAAATTGTTTAACTCAATCATTTCGTTAGATTTCTTTATATTTTTCTTTTGTAAAATTTAACTTTATATTTATTTTTAGAAATTTTTTTCTTCATTGGGATTTTCTTATCATTATATTATATGGCCTGGTGTAACTATACTATTATTATTAGTAATTATTCTATTAACTGTTATCATTAGTCGTATACGTGAAAGTCGACGATCACGAGGTACATATCGGCCAGCATTAAATGAAAATGGTCAAAGTTCACGTATAGAATTTAGTATGATCTTAAAACCACCACCTGAAGAACGATTGATATAAGAAAGAATTTTCTCTGTAAACAAGAACAAAAAAACATGAGTGTCAGATATGATTAGTCAATTTCTTTCTCCTATCATCGTCGTTATTATTTTTTTTTCTTATTCTGTATGTTTGTAGTAGGTGTTGTTGTTGTTGTCATACTGATTGATGTGTGCATGCAAAATTGTATCTGATGCAATGTAGTTTGCTGTGGTTTTTTTTCTTCTTTTTCTTTATTCTTGTTTATAATGAATAAATTTAAAATTCTTATTCTTAATTGAAGATTTTTTTTTTTCTTATTATGGCTCCAACATTTTCATCTATTCTTGACCATCTTGATAAATTAGCTGTTATTGCTGGCGGGTTTTTTGCTGGTACAGCTTTATATATGACTATTGGTGAAGTACCAGCTATGCGTGCATTTGGTCTTGATGAACATTGGCGATTTTTTCCATATATGTATGAACGAGCAGCTGTATCACAAATTATTTTTACTTCAATTGCTGGTATATCAGGTGTTTTACATGGAACACGTATTATTCGTGCACCATATCATCGTAATTTATGGATTGCTGCTGGAACAATATTTCTTGGCATGATTCCTTATACAGTCATTTGTATGCTTCCAACAAATAAACTTATAATTGAAGATAATAAAAGTGTTCAATCAGGAAGTGAAAGTAAAATTAATCTTGGTACAAAAAGAGAATTACTAGATAAATGGGCTATGCTTCATTGTGTTCGTACTCTTGGTTCACTTGTTGGTTTTGGTGCTATGGTATTTGGACTTAGTCATCATCAATCACTTCGTTTAGGATGGTAGAAAGCGAAATTATTTTGTTTATTCATACCAAAGACATTTCATTCTTACTTTAGTTAATAAATTAAAAACTTCTCTTGCTTCTTTAGATAATTTGACTTATATGCAACAAGTTTTATATAGGAAATAAACGATTGAAATAGTACGATTTTTTTTTCATTAGAACAACAATTCATCTAGACAGTCCATATTTGATTTGACTTTTATTATTAATCACGTACGAAATATCAAAATTAGCGATGAATGTATTTTAAATTTCTCATACAGTGCTTAAAGAAATTTTCTCTTTCTCTATTAACGGATTTATAGTAAAAGCAAGACTCCAAATTTTTCTGATATTTGACCATGCTTCAACTAATAAAATAATAATAAACTTTCGATAAGAACCTTTTTTACTATATGCAACGGTAATATTAGATCGAATTTTGTCTTTGATGCGTATCCTCTTGTTGATGTTCTGTTTTTCTCCTCTCCTCTCATGCCTAGCCGTCTACAAAAAAATGGTGGCAGTAGAACAAAAAGAAAATATAAAAACAAGTTCATCAATGCACTTGAATGTGAACAACCAGGACAATTATTTCGAACATTGAATGAAATAAAGGCTTGCTGAACTTGTTTTAGTGTATTTCTTTTTTTTATTCATATTGATACGATTTTTCATAAACGCCTAATATGTGCAAATGGCTAGGTATTATAGACGACGACAAAAAAAAACACAGAAAGAAAGAGAACATCATCAGCAAGAGGATACACATCAAAGATAAAATACGACATAATATTGCTGTCACATATCATAACAAAGAGTCGTTATCAAAATTTTATTGTGATAATGTTAGATGACGAATGACGAGATGTCAGAGAAATGCAGTAGTATATTTTAACTATCAGACTATACGGTATATACAGAGAGTTTCTTTGACCTTTTTGTAAGGAATTAAAATATCGTCGTCAAAGACGAATAATCAATTTTAGGATACATGAAAAATCATTTCGTTTTCCAAATGACCTTTATGTTTTACTGGAATTAGCATTTTTTTTCTGCCCCTGTGAGTCCTAAAATTCATGTTTCGATTTTGACAGGCAGAAAACAACAACATTGATGCTTATAGTACGAGTAAAAATAAGCTTATTGCAGTCCCAATAACAGAGTGAATATGTATCTCATCCAGTCCTTGGTTTGTTGTTAAGAGTCCCGTTAGCTTTCTATTTCTATTATTACATAGCGTAGCAAAGATATATAACTTAAGTAATATGATTTTTTAAATATAGGGATGATCAAAGATTGTTCATTGAATGATGCTATGATTCAGATTAGTTTATGCTTGAAATTGATCAGAGACATTAGTATCAAGTATATTTATAGATGATATTCGTCTACGCCGTAATCAAAATTTTTCTCATAGTTTTAGTTTTTCTTAAAACTAACTGATCCAATATTTCCGTGAAATACTAAATGTGATCTACAACATCTTTAATGCACAATTGCATTAGTATCTTAGTAGAAAAGCTATTACATTTATTACAATCAAAGAAAAGATTCTTAATTGACACATTAATTTCTCTTGCTTATCTGGTTGGTGAACCTGTTTGCTGTGGAAGGAAGGAAAAAAAACAAAAACAATGTTACTAAATCGGATTCATCCTGTTCACCCTCACGTTTATCACCAGATCTTAACTAAATTTTTCTTGATAATGTTATTGATATATCTTATTCTCGTTTTGTTCGTATCATATTTTTCTCTTATTTCTGCATCGTTTGACATCATATAAGCCAGTTTCCTTTCTATTTCAGCACCACACAACTAAAATTTTATATGATCATATTAGAATATATTCTAAGTGTATATATCAGAACACATTTAAAGAATACAAGGCATACTTCTCGTATATGTGCTCTGTTCATACTGTTCTGCATCAATTGGTGAAGAGCAAGAACCCCACTTTTTGTGCTCTATACATGTTTCTAAGTTTTATCTATCTATTACATATGTTTGCAAAATGCAAACTTAGCTTCAAAGTTGTGAAAACAGTTAGATATATTTCGTTCTGCTTACCTTTATCAGAATCTAATTTTTACAGAAAACGCACACAATCCTACTTGTTTACTACACATAATATCGTTTATCTAGATGAAACACATATTTTAGAAATCCTAGAAATACTTTGTCATAGTTACTTTTTTTAGTTTACAAAAATATTCTATAAAAATATTTAACAGCATTTACAAAATGAAGTCTCTCGAAAAAGCAACGTACTTATAAATATCAGGTTGACTCTAAATGGATGTGTCACTTTTCAATTAATTTTAGATTGAAATACTGAATTAAAAATGAATTTAATTTGCCTTTAAATTTAATGTATAATTTAAAGAAATTTAAATTTCGAAAAATTTACAATTTTGAAAATGTTTCTTTTTAGATTTAGCAAAAGTATTTTTTAAACGTATGTTCATGACCCATCTCTCTTAATAGTACAACTTGTAGCAAGTCCTAGACAAGGATGATGTAAAGAAATGAAAAAAAAAGTGGATAGAAGATTGTCACGAAAAAGATTTTCACAGTGAAAAAGATTCATACATCATTTTTTTTCAAGATTAAGGGCATTCTCAGATTTATTTTCTTCATTTGATGATATTTTTTAATAAATACAATACGACTGTGGCTGAAAAAAATTGAAATTTTGTTACTTTTTCTAATAGAAAAATTTCAAAAATTTTGACAAGACAACATCAAATATGAATTCTTCTCAATTGTAATTCTTCCTTCTACATAAGTATGAAATTATGTTAAAGAAAAAATGAACAAATATGAATCCCCACAAGTGTTATTCTTATTCGTCATACAATCTTACATATTACTTTCATACATTAGCATTAATTCATCTGAAAAAGATGACTTGATTTTAATTTAATTTTTTTTCAGAATTCCATTGACTTAATTCGGCGTTGTGGTGTGGGTGTGTGTATGTACGTGTGGGAGCGGATTGAGTGTGGGTGTGGATGTGAGTCTTTTCTTCATGAAAACTCACACCCATGCCCACACCCCCACTCACACCCCCTCTTGCTTTATTTATTACATTTGGTTTTATCTTTAGGTCGTTATGAGAAGCCAAAAAAACAGAATTTAAAGTGCATTTTCAACGGTTTGTCTAAATACAAGCAAAACTGAACTTAGTTTTAGAAACTTCACTAATTATTTAGGAGCCAAAATGTGTGTTAGCGAAAAGTAAAAATGTGCACGAGAAAAAACATTAAATCGTTGAACGCTAAATATTCGGTTATGGTGTTGGGGCAACTAAAAGTGGAGTACATGCGGTCATACATGCTCCTTGCGCAGCGCTGCATGCTACGGCAGCTGCAATAGTTGATGTGGGAGTTGACGTCAGCCATGCCCACCATCCAACAGGACCTGTGACTGCAGCAGTTAGAGTTATCGTTCCAAACGTAAGGCCGGCTAAACTGTAACAAGTTACGGCACCATAATTACAGGCTGTTTGGCAGGCAGCATAAGCCAATGGACTCGACGATACGAAGTTTGCTTGTATCAGTAGGAAAATCACTAAAGTCTTCATTTGTTTCAGATCTGAAGCAAAAGAATAGATTGATATTTGTTTCCACTACTAGACAGTATCTGAAAGTCTTGTAATGTCATATAGCTAATAAAGGAAGTTTTATCTATTTGGGGATGAATGATCTAAAGTGTCTGTCAAGAAACCGAAATGTATTGTAAAAAAATAAATTAGAATTAGAGTCGTCACTGTTGTTGTAGTTTCTGCACATATCATCACTACTCTCTAAAAAAAAACAGTATTCTCGGAAACCAAGGGAGAAAGGTTTCCGAGAATACTGTTTTTTTTTTGAGAGTGGCATTAATATTATGGGAGATCGGNNGTCGAAAGTGAAAATGTAGAAAAAAAAATGTAGAAAAGCAAAATGTCGAAAATTATGAACCCCTGTAAATCCTTGTAAATCCTTGATGAAAAACTTTTTCTAAGATTTGATCAATAGAATGTAATACGGTACACATTCACAGAGCACAACAGTGAGGGTGAGGGCGAAATCTGTGACCAAAAAGGATTTAGATTTTCGACAATCTGCTTTCGACATTTTGCCTTTCGACATTTTCTCTTTCGACATTTTTCCTTTCGACCTTTAACCACCTATTCTTCTCTTCATCTACATACGCACTCACACCCTCTTCCTTCTGTGCTAGTGACAATATCGACAAACACATTGACTGACCAAATAAGTCTACTCTCGCAAATGGAATACCATTCCACATACATTATATATACTTGAGTCCAAATTTGGGACTACACACTCGATCCATCTATATAGTTGCTACCATACTATATAGAATTTTCGTCGAACGAACACAAGTGTTTTGAACTATTTGTCATGCATGTGCATAATTTAAATTTCAGAATCTCAGCTAGTTTACTCTTTTCTTTCGCACTAATAAACGAAGACTTTCTACATCTTTTTCAAGCAAGATCACGCAGAGAAATGAAAACGTGGCAAATGCTATGCCTCTTGCGATGTTTAGTCTTCGAAGAAATTTTTTCGCAAAAGATCCATTTCAATAAAAGTATCATCGTTTTGTTTCCTCATATTTATAACTGGAACCGATGTTATTATTGTTCTATTCAATTTTGCTATAATCAATGATTTTTCCGTTTTTAACATCAAAACGATGAATCATCAGTAAGTTATGTGCTGCTCCTCAATTATAAATGACATAAAAGAAAAAAAATATGTAAAAAGAGTCGAAGAAAAGTTTTATTTTTTCTCTTTTTTATTTCTATTTATTTACCTCAATATTGCGCACGTGCCAGGAGTGCGTCTGTTCTGCACAATTCGAGTCGTCAAAGATCTGGACCGGTGATCTCTTTTGCATGAATTTTATTGTTAATCATTATAAATGTTTTTTATTTGAATAGATCTATTGTAATCCTATGGACAGTGAGCAAAGCAATCCTCTCAGTGAATTTTATTTGGCTTGTCGAAGTGGAGATCTGAATAAAGTTGAATATCTTCTATCTCGACTCTCATTGTACGATCTCAACCAATTTGAATCAAATGAAAGTACTGCTTTGCATGCTGCGGCTTTCTTTGGTCATATCGACATCGTTCGACTTTTGATGGCACATGGCGGTTTTTTGACGACACTGCGTAATCGATATAATCTAACACCTGCTGAAGAATCGAGCGATACCATTCGCCAATTATTGCTCTTGCCTGATATCATTCAATTGCGATTTCAATGTACAGATTCTATGACAACAACACTTTTTACGCCTATTTCGGCGATCAGTGATACTGACAAGCAATCTTTGATAACAACAACGAATGAACCGATTGCTCAACGACCAGATTGGATCGATGCCTATGATAATGCTCAAAGAATAGCTCTAGAAAATCATGAATACATGCGAAAATGGTTGACAAAGATTCCGTTCACTCATATTATAAACATGATTAAAACTGATTATCTTAATCAAATGAATACAATATTGACTGAAGATAATCTTACAGTAATTCAGGAATATATTACATTAGCAAATGATGAAGATGATGCTCGTTATCTTGTTTATGCTTACACAACACCAACATCGTTCTTCAAACAGATCAATATTGATCTAGCTCAACGAGGTATGTCAATAATCATCGAAAAACTTACTATTGCATCATCCACAAAGATATATTTCATTATTATAGGTTCTGACTTTCGATTCGAAAATAATATCTCAAAAAAGTATCGAGATGATGAACCTCCAATAGGCTTCGGGCAATACCTGTTTGCCGCAGTGATCATCAATCATTCATCCATTGATCATTGGCGTTATACTGGTGTAACTTATCGTGGTATGAATATCAGCAATGATGAATTGAATCAATATATTTGTGATGCTCGAATTTTGACACGTTCGTTTTTGTCAACATCAAAACGCATAGATACTGCTTTTCTTTATCTTCAATATAATAATCCAATTCTTCGGCCGGTATTGTATGTCTATCGAGTGACACAACGTCATACAAGTCTTACTATTAGTGATTTAAGTGCCGTTCAAGGCGAAGACGAAGTACTCATTATACCGTTTGTGGCATTTCGTGTCGTTAAAGTCGATATTGATTGTTTCTATGTTTCTGATCGTTGTCGAGTTTCTGTTATTTTTCTTGATGAAGTGACAATAAATGAAAAAAGTAAGTTGAATTCATGACTAGTTTCGCCCATCTTGAACGAAGCGTTGATATTGTAGGACAATCCTGGCCGTTAGCATCAGTGATTGAGAACGAGCATCTTTTTTCTGAGAAACATCATAAAATGGACGAAAAACTTTCTTGTGCAGAAAACTTAACAGCAAGCATAAACTTGCAGAAAGGAAAATGTTCGGCTTCATCATTATTTGAATTCTACAAACAACATCGTACTAGTATTCAGCAGTACATTGAACATTGTCTTGCTATTTATTCTCATTGGACAACCAATGAACTCGATAAAATCAGTCACGCCATGACTACTTCCTTACTCGATCCATCGTTTATTTTTACTACACAGGAGAAAAAATGGATCGATGAAAATCCAAATATTTTTCGTCTCTATTGTCATCAAGCTCTCTTTTCCTCATTGATATCGTCCAGTAAGACGACGGTGTCATTTGATGAATTACTGATTGAACAACGTTCAATTCTTGTTGTCGGCGATCCTGGCAGTGGAAAAACAACGTGGACTCATTGGCTGATGTGGAAATGCATTCAAATGTTTCAAAGATCTCTTCAAGAAATCGATAATCATGCACCAATACCTTTGCCAATTCTAATTCATACCAATGATCTTGTGAAATATCTTGATCTGAATTCATCAATATCATTCTTTGATTATCTATGTCGAGTCAGTATCGATAATTCGAACGAACGCACATCGACTTTTATCGGTGAACATCTCGTCTATGGTCATACTTTGATCATTCTAGATGGATTGGATACCATTGACAATATACAGAAACGAGATCTTCTTATCGATCTTCTTATTCAGTTTCTTAAATCACCTATTCTCCTAGCAAATGAGAACGAAACAACAGTTCCAAATGGAAATCGATTGATTATTACTAGTCATTCTATTCGCTCATTACCTGGGGAATATTTTACGATGTATACATTGACTTCACTGTCATTCGATATGATTGAAAATTTCATAGACAATTGGTGGAACAGTCATTGTTCACATTTGACACACGAAACAGTAGACAATTATTCGAATCAATGGAATGACACAGTAGTTCATCTGAAAGCATTAATCGAGAGACATTCTACTTTTAAAGAATTGTTATCAAATATCTTGATTTTATCCACGATTTGTCAATGGATGACTTTACAAGTACTTGTGGGAACATCGTTGAAACAAAGGATTCATTATTATACCATGAGTGTTATAGTACTATTCGTTCGACTTCAAAAATATTCATTATTGAATCAAATTGATCAAGAAATTTTCATCAATCTTCTTGCTGACATTGCTGTTCATCTTCAAGAATATTCATCATCCGGTCTGATTGAAAAATTCGATCTACATTACAAATGTCGTGCTTCCTTACGAAATCATTCCGCACAGTTCTTAACCAGTGAGCATTGTCTCATCGACCCCTATTTTACTTTGATCACCAATAATAACAATCTATTTTTTTTACGTAATATGAATAATTATAGTTTTCTTTCATTACCTATTCAACACTATCTGGCATGTTTATTTCTTATTCGCACAACTGATAAAAAGCAATCAAAAATTGAAATTGTCGTTGAACGTTTTTTGTCGTATATGACAAATTCAAATTTTCGCGAACCACTCTTATTAGGTCTTGAGTGGATTAGTTGGCAATGGAGTTCCGAGGATCTAAATATGTTTTGTCATCTATTATTTACCAGCAACAATGATCGATTCAATCAACATCTACCATTAGGTTCTATGTTATTAATGACTGTTTTATTCGATTTAGAACAGAAACCGAATGAAAAAACATTAAAAGATGCGTTTGATCGATTTTTAATGGTTAGTACTAATCGAGAATGGTTCGTTCGTTTTCCGATCTTTATCGATTATCTTATTGATGGATTGAATTATTTACCGTTGCACATCGCTCGTACATGGATTTATCATTATTTTCAAACACGAGATAATATCGAACGTATTCGAAGTGTTTTGAATATTTTAACCAATATGATTTGCTTTTTTCGAGAAATTCCAATTTGGATAAGAAATGACGATCATGAAAAATATTCATTAAATGTTCTTCAATATCAATCTAGAATTGACTATATTCAAGATAGTGAGAATAATGATTTGTTCGTCATTGATCGCCTTTTAACAATCATTTCGATCATCGATTCAAATGCACTGTCACCTGGTTTTGTTCGTCACTCACTTTTCATATTTAATATTGATATCCAACAATTTTCGCCAGTATTTCTAACTATACTCATTGCTCTCTACGGTGGATTACATCGATTTAAACGATCACATTTAGATAATAAAGACACTGTTGTTTTCTCTCCATTCCATATGCATCGAGATTCATTGTATGAGTCCTGGCTAATTAAATATATGAATGCAAATCGTTGGACACACCTACCCAATACAGATGAAATCGAACAACAAATCCAACAGATACCATCTGAAGATGATTCACTTGAAACAATCGATCTATTTACTGCTTGGATATGTTTGAAAGGTGTTACACAACCATGGATTTTCTATAAATATATGAGTTGCTCAGGGTTTCAACATGCCATATTTCGGTTTCATCGTTTAGCTTTATATTTAAGTGAATTTTACTATGTCAAATATGATCTTGAAGTCGAACTTGAAGCACCTTCAACATTTCGCGAGGATGCCATTTCAATCATGCAACAATATGCTCAATCGAAAAAGAATGAGACTTGCTCGACATTTGTTCACTGTGTCGCCGTCGCTCTAACACGTCTAATAATTCCCGGTGGTGAGCGATCTTTATTCTATTCCGATGGTTCATTTTGTCCACGAATGCTTGATTTGAATTTATCGGATTCGAAACTGATGTCTGATCTTTGGCAACATTCAGATTCGGACATTGCCATCTTTCTTCCTCTTCTATGGACACCAATTAGACCACGTGAAGTAACACTTCTACAGGAGAAATATGATAGTGACTCTGTACTACACGTTGTCGATGGAACTCATCCGATATTGTCTTTTGGACATCTGATATCGTTTCTTCTTAGTTTAATACCTCGACATTTTCAACAGCTCTTCGATCGATTTCTTGATTTATCACCTTCGTTTCCATTTGTCTGCTTGCTGGGCGAAATAGTTCGTAGCTTAAGTAGTCAGAGAAAAGGTGGCATTCGCTTCGCACTTCTACTTGCTATTCTCAGAATTCATTTTGAAAAGCATCAATGGACCCAAATTTTCCGGGGACTACTCACTTTGGTCACTCGTGCTCATGATATCAAGCGTTATTTTTATAAGTTCGACTGTTTCTTATCCGATAAATACGGTCAATCGCCGTATGATGATAAAACTCTGCAAGAAGATAACCTACTAATTGCACTATTTCATGAACGACAACGAGCTGAAGAATTAAGAAAGAAATCGACTGATTGTCTCAAATTATATGAAGCATCGATTTCCATAGCTATTCTATCTGCCGCTCTCTATGAACAAAATGATCAACCACTGGAGATAGCCGATGAAATCTGGCTTACTGTAACACACATCCGAGAATCTATTCTACGTTTACATGCAATAACGATCATCTGGCACCTATCACAGACTTATACAACATCAGCACATCGAATTGATATGATATGTCAAGAAGCACTAGCAGTTATTGACAATCAACAATCGATTGTTGATCATAGTCTCCTATTTCTCATCTGGTGGACAACATTCGCTAATATTGCTGATAATCGCACGATTGCCTATCAAGTGCATCTCCTACTTGACCATCTTACTATAAATATAAAAACGGATTCCATCGATATTCAACAGACTATTTGTCAATCATTATTAATCGCACTTAGCCATGATATATATCCATACGTTCGGCCACGTATTTGTCGTTTCATTCAGGATAGCCGATGGTCAAACGAGTGTTATTTGTCTAATGTATTTCAACTGCAATCGATGCCTCTTTCCACAGTGATCAAAAATCATTCGAATCTAGTCTTCAGAAATCCATCGAAATCTGCATTACTTGCTTCCATGTATTTAATGCAATTAAGTATCGATGTCTATCATTTACCTACATGGTTTGAAATGGAAAATACAATTAATAGACAAACAACAATCGATCGATTTGCTCTTGAAAGCATAGCGGTCCAACAACTGAGTATTTCCGGTAAACATCGAATAGTATCAAAAGAGGCAGCAAGAATAATGACTAATCTTTTTCAAATAAGTCTAGAAGAACAGTCTATGGATTATCATTCATTAGAACGTTTACTTTCACAATGTGAGTTTGTTGAAAAATCCGCCCAGTCCGATGTTATTCAATGGCTTCAGTACAAAGATCATCCGCATCTATTTGTCTTCGCATTTCATGCGGCCTTACTAATCACGAAATATTCCATTGATGCCATTCAACTATGTTGTAAATTGCTCGATCATCCAACTGATGAGTTTCGGCAACGAGCTCAAAAATGTCTCAATTGTGTGTGTTTATTGACATCGGATTTAACTCGAGATCAGTTCATTCAACTCTTCAGTACATTACTTCATGCACGTCGTACACAGTCAACATTAGCACGAGAAACGCTGATCAATATTGATGTGCGTATTGATTCTATCGAATATCTCGAATTGATCTTCATTTGGGAACGTGAACGAACATATTTGCTTCTTCAATCATCACAATCATCACATTATCTCACGCACAACCTCGAATTACATCAGCAAGATATTGGAATATCTTTATTCGAATATGTACATCTACAAAATGCAGTTTTCGATGTGCTCGAATGTCTTTTCGAACATGCCAATGATCGATGCTGTCAAATACAAAGGGATCGTGAACGAAGAACTATCGAAGAACAATCATATTTAACAGAACTTGTAAAATTTATTGGTCGAGATTGGTATAGTTCTTTGATGAGTGAAATGTCGATTTGTGAGCAGAAATTTGTGTCATGTCTTATTGCATTGCTAAATGATGTGCCCCTATATTCCACACTAACCAAAGTCATTGTCAGTGTTCTTGTCATCAATCGTAATACAGTTCCGTATGTGCCGATTTTTACACGAAACGAAGCTCGACAATGTTTAAAAAATATTCTTACTGAAACACTTGAGAAACCTTTGAATGAACAATTCACGGATGATGTTTTAGCTCTTATTATAAAGCATTATTATCACACAACAAATGATGATGATGAACATATTTTGATTCGCCTACAACAAATTTCAAGTCGAAAACTCATCGTAACAGCAGCTGATATCGCTCTCATTCACTGTCGTTCACTTAGACGACCAAAACCGAACCTTGATGATTTTCTTGAACTCATGAATGGTGAATATATTCGACTTTATCATGCACTGATGTCCATCGTTGTTGATCCACGAACAATGTTTACAATATATTCGATCGCATTGGATCTAATCTGTACATATGAAGATGAACTTTTGCCTTTGTTCGTCAGTGAGCTTGTTCAATGCCATTCAGGACAATATTCGAATCGCATTCGTCTTGCTTGTGCTCTTCTCGATCGGCTATCAACTGGAATGCATATTGCAATTGAGAACAATGAACAATTGAAGCAAATCATTTTCCAAAGCAGTGAAAGAAACAAAGATGATCGAGATTGTTGCATACGATTTTTGACTAATGGCTACAATGAATTGACCAACGATGTCAAACAAATGCTTCTGTTAGCCATGTGGGACAAATATCATATCCAATTAGCAGCATTCGAATGCGTTGCAAACATTCGACTTGTGAATAGTCGTACCATTGTCGAAGATCTTTACCAAGAATTACTCTTTTCAAAATCATTTCAACGACGTTACATCAGTGCTATGTTATTAGTACAACTCGCCAAATTCGATCATGTGTCCATCTATGAAGTACAACGAAAATTGACAGAGGCCATCAATCAATCAACGGCAATAACTGGTATGATCACACACAAGGGTAAACAAAATTTAGGTCAAGCTCTTTTCAATCTTCTCACACAACTCTCGTTCATTACTGATGATAAACGTGAAAATATAGATGATTATCATAAGCCAAACTGCATGAATTTCAAGTGGGAGCTTCAAAATATTATTGATGCTGATCGATATGCGTCATTTACTTTTCCTACAATGTCATTGAGTGAAAGTTGACTCGGACAACAACCTTTTTGTACATAGGTTCTCCATTTCTGACCATACATATTTTGTTAATCTAATAACTGTGAATATCTATCTATGGATTTTAAATCACGTATGATTTTTTTAGATACGTTCCGCATGCCCAGGAAAGGTTTGAAATCGGTAGAATTTTTTACAACAGGATAGGACCGACCGGTTCAATAACAGAATTCAATCAGTGTGATAAGATATATAATTAATGCTAACATCTACTAAATACAGATCAGAATCCAGTGTAAAAGAGACGCAAAAATCTGTATCAATTGTGAAAAAGCGACAGAACTTTATTCAATAGAAACTGATAATCATAATATTCACATTATGATAACAGATGCCTATAAGATTTTGTACAAAAAATTCATCAGACATGTTTAATTGATTCTTCAAAAGTGAGATTTTAACGTAAAAGTTATTTTTTTTTTCGTTTTTTAATCTTGTAAACACAAAAGAAGTAACAAGATGATACTTCGACCGTACATACAAAAGCACTCCAAAATTTCTATTAAATAATTAAAACTTTTTTGAAAATAATCGATCTCTTAATAGAAAAAGCGATAAATGCATTTTTATTAAGATACTAGAAAATCATGTGTAATGAACCACACTGTCCTGTAGCAAGAAGCGTAAGAAAAAAACAGCATATGAACTAGCCTGAAACTGGTCAATGTCACCTATTAAATTGGTATGATTCAATAATATTGTAAATCAATTATTTGTGACAAAAAAGGTTTTGGATGTAGGTGGTCTATGTGTGGGTTAAGAGAAGATCTGCACTCACATCTCAACACGTACACCGAAAAACTTGTCGCATCAGAAGCTGACGTTCTCTAGAAATTGCAATAACTATCATAAAATAGATTCACTTCTGGTGAAATTTTTTAAAACAATTCATTTTCTATACGCTCTCATTAAGCAAACCTTTAAAAGTCAGCTATCAAATTCAATCATTTCACGGAAAACAAATAAAACCGTTAACTTCATAATTAATCGAAAATTTAAAACAATTGTATTATACTTAAACTTTCTTTTATTTATGTTCGTAGATAAGAATAGTTATTTACTTCCGTATTGCAAATTAAAACTTCTGTATTTTTGCAAACAGATTTTGAAAGTAATATTTCTTGATCGATACCTATTCCCATAGAAATTAGCTCTGTAATGAAAGCGCATAAATGTGATTTTCCTTATTTCTGTACAGAATTCAATGCTTTATACTAATGTTCAAAACACTAGCAAAAAATTTTGCTGTAACTAATTGCTTTTTGGTCTTAACAGTTGTCTTTTAGTGACCGAAGATGAACAAATATATTATGTTAAGACTTTCGTGCTATAAGTGTTAAATGTGATTATTGAATGTTTTATTAGTCGAAAAAAAAACAACAATAATAGAATTTAGTAACAAAACAAAAACAAGTATATAAAAAAAATAACACTGTATTTTTATTTATCCATATGCATTTGCTTTATGTTTTGGTAGAAATTGAAAATCAGGAGAAACTTTTCCTAAGAGAAGTTCAGTTAATTTGACCCAATCAGAACAAAGTTTCGATGACATTAATGTTTCTAGAAGAAAGAAAATAAAAATTATTTAAGAAAGAAACAAATTTCTATTAATTACCAAGATCATTTCGTCCAAAAAAATATGGTGGTCGTTCGTTTAATCTATCTGGAAAACGTTCAAGTAAACCAACAGGTATATAACGATAAAGAAATGAAATCCATTCAAGTAAAAATCGTCGAGTTTTTTCAACACCAGCTTGATCAGAACCCCAATGTTCTAAACCATAATTTGTATAACGTTTTAACATATCAAAACGTTCATTAGCTGATATATCCCATGTACGTTGTTCTTTTATTTCCGTAAATAACCATGGTTTAATTAAAGCACCACGTGCTATCATACAACCACTAACATTTGTTTCATTTAATCGTTGATAATAATCTTCAAATGAATAAATATCCCCAACACCATATAATGGAATAGGATTTGATAATTTTGCACATTCATCAATATAATTCCAATCAGCATTTTTTGAATAACGCATTTCTTTTGATCGACCATGTAAACTAAATAAATCAACAATATGATTTTCATCCTGTTCTGTTTTCCATGATTTAGCTAATGAAATAATATCATGAGCATTATTTTCCCCAGTTATTATTCCTGTACGTAATTTAATTGTTATTGGATGTGTTGAAAGACATGATACTGATCGACATATACGTTCAAAATCAATTGTTCGTCGTGTTAATGCACAACCAGCACCTTTTTTATAAACAAGATCAATTGGACAAGCACAATTTAAATCAATAAAATCAAAATCAAAATTTTCTTCAAGCATTTGAACTGTTCGTGTCATTGTATCGACAAATGAACCACAAAGTTGTATACCAAATATACTTTCACTTGGATGACGACGTAATAATGCAAATTCCGACATTTGTCCTTGAAGTAATGATGTTGTCATTGCCATTTCACCACAAGTTATTTCACAACCATATTCTTTACAAATACGACGAAATGGTAAATTACCGACTGTAGTTAATGGTGCAAGATAAAGACGACGATTAAAATCAATTCGAATTTTTTCACGAGGTTTTAAACGAATCATATCAGCATCTGTTATTACACCAAGAGTTCGAAATGGTACTGAACGAGATGATTGTTGTTGTTGTTGATCAACATCAGTTGCATCAACTTCAGCTTGAACACGTTCATTTTCACTTGGCTAAAATATTCAATTGAAATATCATTTTCTTATCTTAATGATGAAATTATATGAGTAAATAATAGGAATGTCTGATCTATAACATTCGGATATAATTTCAATTCTTATTAAATAAAATTCAAATCAATTTATGGTCATGTATCGAAAATTAGAAATGCATATATTTTAATGAATTTGATTATATATAAGATTTTTAATTTTTATTTAAATGTTTACCTGATTTTGATTATGATTATTATTTGTTTGAAGAGCTGAATAATAAATATCTACAAGTGATCGATCATCTTTTTCACCAACATCATTATTATCATGATGTTTTTCATTGATTTTATCTTCATCGATATTTATTGGATTATTTCGTTTTGCAATATTAGCTTTTGTTATTTGTTTATTTGCTAGTTTAATTAAATGATCAGATAATTTATAATCATATTTTTTTCTTCGTAATAAATGTTTAAGTAAAGGTGGATATTTATTTAATGATTCAATATAATTTTTATGTGGAGGTAAAATAATTTTATTATGACCAGTTATTGGATCAATATGAGATTGACCAAAACGACATAATATACCATAGAAACATTGACCATAAACATCAAACATATAACAATGTGAATCAAGATCAACAGGTCGTTGAGATAGATATGAAGTTAAATCATGAGAATGTTTACAATTTGATTGATATGGACATTTTTCAAGACCACCTCGTACAACAAAAAAACATAAATGATGATCATTATTATTTGCTGATGAAGAACGAGCATTAATTTCTAAATGTTTACGATTTTGACCCTACAAAACAAAAGAAAGATAAGACATTATAGAGTGTCTATTTAATAATTATTATGAATCTCGTTTAGCCCTTTGAGTCCTGAATTTTTTCTATCCAACCTAATTTGATGAAACCACTAGGAATGATAGAGCTAGGTGTGCTAATGAAGTTCCACTATAGGACAGATTTTGTTAATCCCATATTTTTATNGTTTTTCGAGAATGATACTTTAGAAAGTTGAACATGTTGGACCCTCACAATATTCTTTTGTCAAATTTTTTATACTTACAGTTGATATCAAACATCTTTATATAATCTTGTAGAGATTTTCGCAGCGCATATTTAGGTAATAAGTATAGCAAAATTGGTTGGGCCTGTATGTAGAAAATTTAAAAATACAAAACTACCCATTTCTTCTGGACCACCCGATATTTAGGCGGTGTTTTTATAAAAATTAATCTTAATCTTTTCCTATTATTTTGCAGTAGAATAATTAAATATTTTTCATATTCGAACGTTTGCGATAACAGAACATATATTGAATTTTTTATTGCATGTTTTTAACAGAAAGTTATGATTGTTCTCCGACTACCATGAAAATTGAATTTTGATTTGAAACTTTCCACAAATGAAGTTCTCAGTAACTCAAACTTGTTGTAACAATTTCACTGATTTAAGTATTTGATATCTTAAGATATCAGTATAAGAAGAATAATTACTTTTTTATAGGAAGGTTTTTCAATACTTATATCTCTCAAGTCAAAACTCGATTTTCTTGGTGATCTCACAGATGACTACAGTTTTCTGTTTAAAATGCAATAAAAAAAACTTGATATCTTAAGAACAACAGCTCAGACAACCGAACCCTTTTAGACTTTAACACTACTTACTATGACCGTGAGAGTCTTGTATCGTAATTTTTCAGATTATATTGATATTGAAGAAATGGTAAAGTAATATTGAGCAGAAAATAAGGTCTTTCTAAGTTAAAAAAGATCACATGTTCTTCTGATGCTTTGAAAACTTTCCACTATATGAATTCCTTATTGCATTTTTGAAGGATTAAATGAAAGCATGTCAAAGAAATGTATCTAAATTTTTCACATTTGAATCTCGTAGGAATTATGCTAACAGTTCTATTTTTTGTAATCAAATAAAATTTAGTTCGAAACAAAAAGATGTTTATGAACAAACTGCACGAACACTAGTTGATTCCGTACTTGAAGGTTTTAATGGAACTATATTTGCTTATGGTCAAACTGGAACAGGAAAAACATTTACAATGGAAGGTAAAACAAAAAAAAAAGTCGCAGTATGATTAATATAAAAATAAAAATAAATTCTTTGTAATAGGTATTCGTTCACAACCGGACTTACGTGGTATTATTCCATCATCATTTGCACATGTATTTGATTCCATAGCTCATAGTACTTCAAGACAATTTCTTGTTCGAGCTTCTTATTTAGAAATATATAATGTAAATAAATTATTTGAAATATATTTTGTATGAGAAAATGTGTTTTTTTTTGTCAAGGAAAGTATTCGTGATCTTCTTTCACGAGATCAAAATAAACGTTTACAATTACAAGAACATCCAAAAGAAGGTGTACATGTACATGATCTTAGTTCATTTATTACAAAAAATTCTCCTGAAATTGAACATGTTATGACAACAGGAAATTTAAATCGTTCAACAGGGTAGATTATATATATATATTTTTTTTGTTTTGTTTTAAATTAAATATATTATTGTTTCAATTAGAGCAACAAATATGAATGAACATAGTTCACGATCACATGCTATTTTTGTAATTACTATTGAAAGTAGTGAGGTAATTAAAATTGATTATACAGAGAGTAGAAAAACAAAACAGAAGTTAAACTTATGATTATATAGATTGGTGCTGATGGAAAAGCACATATTCGTGTTGGAAAATTAAATCTTGTTGATTTAGCTGGTAGTGAACGTCAAGCAAAAACAGGATCAACTGTAAGATTTTAATGACGGAAATAAATATATCATTTTTTTTTTCTTTTTCTTTTATATAAAATGTAGGGTGACCGTTTTAAAGAAGCAACAAATATTAATTTATCACTTTCTGTACTTGGTAATGTTATTTCTGCTCTTGTTGATGGTAATTCACATATTCCTTATCGTGATTCAAAATTAACTCGATTATTACAAAGTAAAAAAAAAAATTCGAAAGAAATAATGTAAAAGTATTTCAATTGATTTATAGATTCACTTGGTGGTAATTCAAAAACAATTATGATTGCTACACTTGGACCTGCTGATTATAATTATGAAGAATCACTTACGACACTTCGGTAATTAAAATTATTCATATCATTCAAATAATCTTTTAATATTTCATTAATGATCTTAAGCGCTTTTCATCGGACACTATCTAATTATACTTAATTAAATATGATTCTAATAAGAAGTTCGAAGAGTATTTTTCAGTTTGATAAAACAGTTAAATTCTGACAGACAATCACAGAGGTGTGTGTTTGTAAAATCAAATTAGCTATGAATAATCTAAAAATAGGATACTGTAAATTTATGGTAGTTTTCTAACGAATGCTATGATAAGATAAATGCGAAAACTTCGGATTTAAATCCGAGTGTTATGTGTACTTCAAAAAGTGAAAAGGTATATTCACTGCGTTTTTTCTCACTAAATTGCAAGGAGAAAATACAGGCGTACTAAGTTAGCATGGACCACACTGTATGTGATCCTATACGGTGACCATTGACTCTACTCTCAGAGTGATATAATATCTTTAGAAATCACACAAATTGAGTTCAGATTCGTGTTCAGCTTGGAAAACTGGGTAAGAAGAGTTATTTTTGAATGGATTTGTGTTTGTATTTAGCGGGATTGCGATCGTAAACAACATCAGGAATCTATAAGAGATATATATCNTGTGTAATCAAAACAAACTTTTATTTTCGGGGTCTGGGTGCTGAAAAAATAGGTTTTCGGTTTTCCAGAGATCCTGGTTTTGGGGAATAAGATGAGAATTTCATCTTTCTGGGACCTTTGTTGGAAACAATTTTCTCTATCCAAATCACTATTTGGATTCTTGATAGGAGTTACCATTAGGGAAAAAAATCGAAATTACACCTGTATGAATAATTTTTGGAGCCACTGTATTTGCTTCGATGTAGGCATGCACTGAACCCGAAGGTTCGGGTTCGAAGCATGCTTACTTCGATGTCTATCTTCTTCGAGTCTCTTTTTTTTTTCATGAAACACGATATAAAAATGGCGTTGAAATATAAGGACAGAACTTTGGACCCATTCACAGAGGTGATAGATATAACTATGAGATCAAAGTTCATTGCTCGATTAGTAGAATAGTTGTTCTTTACTTTTCTTTCACACTTACTGCACTATATTGGAATTAATATCTTGTATTAATAGTAGGTACGAATTCTTAAACCAAACTCCATTTTGTTTCACATTCTAATACCGCAAGGATTTCGCTAACGGTTTTTGTTTTGTCTCGTCTCATTTAACATCATATCAAGGGTATATAAATAGTGATATTGGTAGAACAAACGAGAAATGTGGAAACAAGTTCATCAAGTCTTTATGTTATTAAATATGCGAAATAATCGTCCTGAGTGTTCACACTCAAATATGGAATCATTTTTGATTTCGTTTGATTAAATCGAATCACATGGTACTAGATCCGAAGCAGTAAAAACTTGATGAATTTGTTTCTGTATTCATTTTTTGTTCTACTGCTGCCACTTTTTGTCTATCCCTAATATGTAAGAACTTTTATTATTATAGAAATGTAGAACATTGTTTTAACTATCAGAACATATAGAGCGAAAGATTCTTTAAGTTTTTTGTTTTTTTTTACTAAGGAATTAAAATACTTTTGCCACTACTGTTGGCATGTTCTAAACATCTTTTAATTTATAGAAAATCAACTCCAAATAGTGGAGGTTATGATAATTATTCATCATCGGCATCACGTGCTGGTTATGGAGATATACAAACAGGTCGCGGTATGAATAGTGCTCGACGATAAATTTGTAAAAAGAACGGTGATAAAGTTCATGTTTGTGTGTGTTTTTTTTCCACAAATATTGTAAAGATTTTTTATATACAAATAAATTCAGTATGTCTTCTCTAATCAAACTTGAATAAAGCTTTTAAAAATGAATAATTTTGTATTGCGTGGTCATTTTTTTCCAATGACATTCTCCTGCAGACACTACATCATAGTTCTATTACTGAGCATCAGTATGCATTTCATTCTTTTTATGAATATAAACTGTTTCTAATTTCATTGACACCTATCGATGGAGATCTTGTTATAGTACTAGGAGATAACTTTGGAGTACAACTGTGTGTGATTGTTAATATTTGTTTTATCGGATTTCAATGGTTATAGTGCTTATCCAATTAGAGAATAGAAAAAAAGTTATTATTTCTAACTTGTATCACTCGAATAGGCGAGAAAGATATCTATTTCGAAACGATTGTGCTGCTCTTAATAGAAGATTTCAGTAGAAAAGGTTAGTCATATGGGATTTCATGATATATTTGTTACATCCCATAGAATGAAATGGGACATTTCTCAAATATTTTTCGTCATAAGGAATCGGATGGGATTGTCATATCTCCTATGCGAAATTCTGGTATAAATACTTAATATTATGCTTTCGAATCTATTAATGTTGTACATATTTCAACGGTAAGTTTAATAAATATTATTAATAGTAAATATGCTTTAAAAAGAACAAATTCTGAACTTCTAAGTTTTACCGTTTCTTTTTTTGATTAAAAAATTAAAACATTTTGTTGATTGTTTACTCATTACGAAATAGATAACACAACATGTTTTAACTGATAAAATGAAAAATAAATAAAAACTGACTCGTATGCTGATTCTTCTTTAAATATTTACAAAAGAGTAACAACTATGTCTAGATTGTATACGTAAAACGAAAAAAGAACACACTAGATTTTTTAGATAAAAATATGATACGTGTTCTTATCAATCATTGGATAGTTTAAACGACTTAGGGAAGGGAGGGAAAGGAGGAGGGAGGGCGAGAAGGGGAGTGGGGGGGGGAGTGCGTGAGTATATACGTTATATTTATTTTCATTCTTTTTCTCTTAGGTTAAGATAAACATTTCGAAGAACTTACACATACAATAACAATTTTACAGACATAATATCTTCATTATACAAATGAGTGTCATAACAAATAATATTATTGAACATGATCATTATTCATCTATTCCGGATTTAATTGCTAAAAAACGTGATGGTTATGAACTTGATCCTGATGAAATTAAACAATTCATATGTGGACTTACAAATGGTGATGTTCAAGATTGTCATGTTGGTGCTATGCTTATGGCTATTTTTATTCGAGGTATAAAAAAGAAAAAAAAACTTAAAACTATTAAATTTGTTTTATTTAAATAAATAATAATTTTCTTAAGGTATGAGTGAAAAAGAAATATGTTCAATGACAATGAGTATGCGTGATAGTGGTGAACGTTTAAAATGGCCTAAATATCGTGGTTCAGTTGTTGATAAACATTCAACAGGTGGTATTGGTGATAAAATAAGTATACCATTAGCACCAGCACTTGCTGCATGTCAATTAAAAGTACCTATGATGGCTGGTAGAGGTTTAGGTATAACTGGTGGTACATTAGATAAACTTGAATCAATGCCAGGTTATCAAACACAATTAAATGATGAACAAATTATTGAATTAATAACAACAGTTGGTTGTGGAATATTTTCTCAATCACTTAAACTTAATCCAGCTGATCGTTATTTATATGCTATACGTGATGTAACAGCAACTGTACCACATCATGCATTAATTGTATCATCAATATTATCAAAAAAATCTATTGAAGATCTTGATGCACTTGTTCTTGATGTTAAATATGGTAAATCAGCATTTATGAAAACATCTGAACAAGCAGACATTTTAGCACAATGGTTATATAAAGTATCAGAAATGCTTGGAATGAAAACATGTTGTTATATAACTGAAATGAATAATCCTATTGGATTTTGTATGGGTAATGCAATTGAAATTGAAGAATCATTAGATCTTATGAAATATAAAACAAATCATTCAAAAGATTTAGAAGAATTAGTTTGTGAACAAGGTAAATAAATATGAATTATAAAAAAAAAATAATAATGTTTTATCTTTTAAGGTGGTCGACTTCTTTTACTTACAAATAAAGTTCAAACAATTGAACAAGGTCGAGAAATGATTCGTGAAACATTTAAAAATGGTTCAGCTTTAGAAAAATTTCATGATATGATTATTGGTCAAGGTGTATCAAAAGCCATTGCTGATCAATTGATTACTAATGATAATACAATAGTTAGTTCTATTTTAAAACTTGCGCCTGTACATCATCAAGCATTAGCATCACAAACTGGTTTTATTCAATCGATTGATTCATTTAAACTTGGTACTATTATTCAACGTCTTGGTATGTTTGATATTTTTATGAATAAAAAAATTTAATTTTGACTTTATTTTGTTTTTTTTTTAAGGTGGTGGTCGATTGAAATCAACTGATAAAATTGATCATTCAATTGGTATTCGTTTATTAAAACATATTGGTGATGAAATTCAAGAAAATGAACCATGGGCTATATTGTATACAAATGATAATGCAGCAAATCATTATCAAAAATTTTTAGATGATTTTCATACAGCACTTCGTGTTAGTTCAACACCAGTTGCACCATTACAACGTATATATAAAATACTATCATAAACAATATAAATTATTGAACACTTTTTTGTTATTTGAAGACAGTTGGTTCTTTCTTTCGTTTGTTTGTTTGTTTGTTTTTTTGTATGCACAAGTCATTTCGTAATGTAATATTTTACAAAAAGAGAAAAAGAAAATTTTAAGATAAAAAAAAAAGAATGATCCATATATAAGTTGCACTTTTAGTATTTTCAAAACTTCTTCTATATTTTTTGCTTGATTGAAATACTTTTTTTCTTAATCAAAAGATAACGTTTGGGATGCCTGCACAAAGTAATATACTTGCTTTAACGAATGTAGTCTCTCCGAAATATTGAGATCAATTATTTTTTTGTTTTCGACAGAACGTATTGTTTCGCTCATCAATATTATTTTGTTGCAATGCATAGTTTCAGTCAGTTTATTTCATCAAACTATAATCTAACGTATTTAAATCTGGTAGACTCTGTGACTAATATTTCTTCGGTGAGGTAACGTATGTGAACTTTAAAAACATTTTGCTAACATGCAGTGTGAAAAATTAACCTGTTCACATTCAGTTTCAAGTATGAATACCGAAGAAATGAAATCAATCAATAATTTCGAATTTTCTTGTTTCTTTTTTTATTTCTCTAATTTAAAAAAGTCTCATTTTATATAGAGAACTACAAACTATCGGCAAATTTTGGATGCCATTCGACTTTATCTTATGACTATGAGTAGATCTTGATGAGACTAAGCAAAGTTTACAGAGACTTAGACCCACAGTTTACTGATAAAGGTATAAAATCAACAGTGAAAGCAGCGAGGTCACCGCGTGCTTATCATAAGCTGTTCTGGATTTCCCGAAAATTCACAACAAAGAATTTCGAATTGAAATTTTATCTATAGGCAGATTTATTAATCCAGAAAGTTTCATCGAAAACGAACATATTTTCCGGTAGACAATAAATATCGAAAATGTCTAGTGTAGGAGAATAAATTTGTCTATAAACTAAATTTTAAATTAAATATTTTCCAAAAATCTTTTACATTCAGTAAAAATTTCAATAAAACTACCGTAACTCTTTATTAATAGACCGTAAGTCCTAATCCTTTGAAATTCTTCTTAATAGCATCGGAACCTACTCAAAGTCATGTACACAGAGGATGCTTAATATTGATTAGAAACAAAACAACTCTGCCCTATGTAGGTGCATAAGAAGAACGTTTGTTCGAACCCTCCCTTCTTCCTTATCATCATATTACGACAAAGATAAACATGTGATGACTGAAGCATTTATTTTCTATATCACATGAATATTTTATTTCGAACTTTTACAATATCATTCAACAGTAGATTACAGATAATTCAATAGTGCATTTTTTTTTAAAGTTTAAGATACAAAACTAACCACAGTACATAATCCAGGGTCTGCTAGATTTATTTATTTATTTAAAAGGAATATTTTCTACTACATTGAAAAACAAATCTTTGAATTCAATTAAAACAAATATTACATAAAAGTTGACCTATAGAAAGTACTTTAAATGGAGGTTTATCAATCAATACTTGTGTATTTGGATAAGTATTTGTAACATAAAATGTATCGAAACGAACTTTTGGATTATTTGAATGAACAAATTTTTTCCAACTTTCATTAGGAAATATTCCATGACCAACAAAAGCTGATATATTAACAGCACCTTTTTCTAAAAGTGCTTGTGCACATTCAATAAGTGTACTACCCGATTGTACTAAATCATCAATAATTATACAATGATGACCTTTTGGATTACCTTTAAGAAAAAAGAAAATTATTTTTCTGTAGAAAATTTAAAAAACGAACCTTCTTGTATAGTTATCATACGTTTATCACCGTCACGAACTTTATTACAAATTACTATTGGATATTTAGTTTCATCAAACATATGAGCAAATCTTTTATGAGCTCCATCATCTGGAAATGCAATATCATATTTTTCATTTTGATTTTCTCGTTTTTTTAATTCATCCAATAATAATTCAACTGTCGATTCAAGACGAACAATAATATTTGATGAAAAATAAAATTGATTTTGTAATGCATGAATATCAAATATAACAATTTCACATGGACCTGTACGTGTTAATGGTACTGATGAAAGCATTTGTGCAAGTGAATATGCTGTTGCAATTTCACCTTGAATTTGAATACGTTCCATTGTACCTGTTGGAAAATAAGGTAAAAAAATTTTCAATGATCGACAAAGATATTTTGGTAAATGATAAAGTAATGAAATTTGTTCGAATATTGTTTGTGGATTATGAAATGAAGCTAAGAATAAAACATGACTATGACGAATTCGTTCAGAATTACGAATAAAAATATTTGGCCAATTATCAGCAAAAGCTTTCCAATCAATTTCACCTAATTCAATAGCATGTTCTTTACTACATGATTTAACTTCTTCAGCTAATTTTTGCATTTCACGAGCATAGAATAATATCGTAGGAAATTTATCACATAAGCCATGTTCATGTTGTCGATGTCCTATTAAATTAGTCATCGTTTGATAGTCAACACGTTTTTTATCGTCGGTTATTCTAAAAATTAATATAATTTTTCTAGGTATTCTTATCAATCAGCCACCTGCTATCATTACAATTGGTTATAAAAAATATAGGAAATAATCCGTTATTCACCAAGCATATATTTTTCTCTTTTGATGTCGCCAGTATTCATATGTGTTACAGTGTATTCTCATAACATATACCTCGATCCTCTCTATTCTCTTCTCTTTGATATTTTCGTTTCTGTCTTTTCCTTTCTTTAACTTCTTTTCTTTGCCCTTGATTAACCTTTGTCT